TAGTCAAATGGCTTAGGCACTGTGCCACCAGAGCTCCTTACAACAGTCACAAGGTTCTGCAAACCTGCCTAGAACACTAATTTCTGAAAATCACAGTTGGCACTGTGTTCCCATGGGTTCTGAGCTCCGTTTGCTACATACGATTTATGTGGAGAAAAAACCGTGAGAGAGCTGAGAGAAACATCACAGCCTACAGCTGTTGGTCAGGTATCAGGAGTCAGCAGGTCACAAGTTAAACAACGGCTGAACTCCAGTTGTTTCCTGAACTTGACTGGAGAAAAAGTGGACGGCTGCTTGTTTCCTACAGTGGGAGAGAAGACTGCAGGGTGACCTCTGGCCAGGTCAGGGATTTTACACCATAACCAGTGAAAGTGGCCTGTGATTAGGTGCAGACGTCTCTGGAGAGGAGAGCAGCATTCCTCAGTTAGAGATGAACCTATCTCTAACTTAAGGGCTTCTTTGATTTACAGATGCCTGGGGCAATAACCAGAATAGATAACTACAGAGCCACCAGAATGCCCATCCATAGAGCCCAGCTTCCAAGACCTAGCCTTCGGTTTGGCCTGCAGAATGTCACATGCACAGCATTACCTGGTGTATGTACTCTTCACATCTGAGCTGTGGGAGGGGTATTTATAGTTGAACCTCACAGCACTCACTTCCTTCAGATGAAGACCAGGGGAAAATGTCTTTTGTTGTTATTGTTGCTATAATAATATCTTCCTTAATCAGTTTTTCAGGTCACCATATTTAGGAACAATTAAAGACACTAACACTCTTGAAAACTTGAAGTGCTTCTAATTGTAAAGGGCTTCAAGCCAACCTCAGCTAAATGACCGTGAAGCAGGATTCTGACCACTTTCAACACTCCACCTCTTTGAGAGCGTCTAATCCCATTAAATTTCCATGTCCTCATGCTGCCTCTTTGTACGCAGTGCCCTCTCAAACACACAAACACACACACACACATATGTGCACACACACACCACCACCACCACCACACCAAATTCAGGAAGCAAAATGGTATAGTGAGAAAGGATTTTTCCTTTTTTGAGGTCATACAGTCTTGGGCAACTTAAGCAACCTTTGAGGGCCTCAATTTTCTCTATAACTGGAGGTAACTGCAGTAAAAGTTCAGATAAAATGCACATGAGGTGTGTAGCACAGGATCTGACTCCCACGGGTGCTCAGGCAACATCATCATCTCCCTTCCCCAGTTAGGTCTGTCCTCACCAAGTAGCACCCCAGGGTCTTGATTCACCCTCACTGGAGCCTGCTCATCAAAATCCACCGGTCCTAGTGTCATTATTTCAGGATTTCATGAGAGGGATGAGTTGGTAATGTCTTTCAAGCTAATTCCAGTGCAACTTTTGATGGATGAAATCATTTCAATGTATTTACTTACACCGTGAAGTGAAAGAGAGTTCCTGGAGAAACAGGGCTGACACCTGACAGAGTGACCCTCTCATACTGGACAAGCCAAGGTGGGGGATTTTTCAAAGAAAGTTGTTTTGTTTGTTGCTACATTTGCTTGTTTTTCCTTTTAAGAGATCAGATATTAAGAAAAAAAGAAAAAGGAGAAAGAAGAGAAAATCTCCCTGGATTTATTCTTACCTCGGAAGGAAGATTGGGCAATTTATTTCTGTAGATATTCTCCTTAGAAACCCAAGGAGGGGTCGCCATGAGTCGGATCTGACTCAACAGCAGTGAGGTTTTTTGTTTTTTTAATACTTAGGGAAAAATTAGGAGTCATGGACTGCTCAATCATTGATTTTTTTAATCCTGGATGGCCCCTTGATGTACTTAAGTACAATGAGCCTTTGGAGCAACACCCCAAGATTCTGGTTCAAGAGGTCTCTGAAGGGGTCCTCACTGTGGGAGACAGTGGACTAGACCTGTACATTTTATCCACTCACATAAATATAACTGACAAAACAAGCCAGTTCAATTCAGTCAAGCAACTAATTAACTTGAAGTAGTGCTGACTAGCAAGGGAAAAATTACTTTCAAATACCTATTGTTGTTGTTGTTGTTTGCTGTCGAGTCGGCCCCGACTCATAGAGACCCCTTCTTGGGTTTCCGAGGCAGTATCACTACGGAAGTAGGATTGCCCAACCTTCCTTCCAAGGAGTGGCCGGTGGGTTTGAACCGCCAGCCTTCTGGTGTGCCGTCAAGTGCCTTAGGCACTATGCTACCAGAGCTCCTCAAATACCTATTACTTGACAATATTCAACCTGCTGAATATCACTGCTTTTCCAATGCTGCCAAGTAGAAGTAACCCAATAAGGTGAATGTTCAGTGTGCATTATATGAAAAACGAAAGGAAAATAAAACAAAGTGACCACAGCAAAGCAGACTGTGGTATGAAGTATAATCTAGAAGACAGTTAATGTTAATTTTAACAGAGAATATGAAAATAAAATTATATACTATTTGATTTAAATTTTACTGTAATCTTTTCCCTTATTTTGGAGCTGGCTATCCATGATGGTAACCTATTTCTAACAAATAGGAATTCTATTTACCAGAAAACAGGGCCTTCCTAACATAGTATGATTCTAGTGCAGGGAAGAGACTATCAGTGACGTGCTCCCTCATCCCTGTACATCGCATGCGCATTCCGGGTGGTTCTTTAGTGAAGACTAACAGCATGTTAGCACCGAGCCAGCAGCTTCATGTCACAGATCGGGAGCACAGGCTGAGGGCGACAGCTCCCATGTCCCACCGTGAGTTAGAGACAGGACGTCTGCCTTATTGGAGACTTCACATTCTCTCTGTCACCTTCTCTTCCCTCTATAGATGGAATTCAGAGGCAGCTCCAAGATGATTCTATACGCACAAACTTCTATGACTGTTTTGACTGACTTGCTAGAACACAATTTTCTAGGAGAAAATGATTGAGATAAAGGCTTGTCTTTAAAGGGCCATAAATCACAGAGTCAAGGGCAAGGCCCATGGGTTGAAGCAGGGTTTCTCAGAGGAAAATGTCATTATTGTCCTGAACATCCACAGGGAGGTGAGTGTTCTGTAACTGCATCCTGGTGGAAACTGTCAATCCAAAGAACCAGAAGAGACCTCCTGGGAATCAAGTCCTCTTATATTTGAAATAGAGTTTTTGCTTCACAAAGTCTTTTCACATACATGCCCCGGGAGTTAGATGGGACAAGTATGGAATGTCAGGGTCAAGAACACAGCCTATGAGGTCAGACTGCCTGAGCTCTGTCTTCTACAAATGAGATTGCGAAAACTTACTTTCCCATCCATATAATGAGGATAATGATATCTTTAAAAAAAAAAGTTCCTGTTGAGTCAGTTCCAACTCATGTCAACCCTCTGCGTGTCCCAGAAGAACTGGGCTCCATAGAGTTTTCAGTGGTTGATTTTCCAGAAGTGGATCATCAGGCCTTCCTTCTGAGGTGCCCTGGGTAGACTTGAATTTCGAGCCTCTTGGTTAGCAACTGGGCCCACTGATCATTCGCCCCATCAACGGACCCTGGATGGTATCCAGGGCTGGCTTATCTGACTTAAAAACAAAAAACTGAACTTGGTTCTTGGTTGGTGTTGATCCACCAAGAGCCACCATCTTCTTATTCTTTTTTTCAAAGTAACCAGTTCCAGGGCATTGATGTCACAGGGCTGTTCTTGGGATCACGTAAGATCGTATGTGCAATGGATTCCATACCTAGTACATAAAACGATCAGTATATTGTCATCCCCTCATTGCATTTGAAGAGGCTGAGGTCAGACAGTTAGTTAATGGCAGAGGGGGAGCCAGACCTCTGGGCCAATCCATATCAAAGCACGGGTTTCCAAACAACTTGACTGAAACTTTGGGCTGGCATGCAGGATGACTTGTCAAAGGTCCCAAAACATGTCAGGAATGAAGCAGGTACAGAATCTGGCCACTTGGCCTCTTGGTCCTTTCACTCTGAAGTCATTAATCCATAGCCTGCATGTATAAACCTGCTCAGCTGCTGCAGAGAACTAGCTCATCACACTGTGAAGGACACTGATGCACGTGGGGGCAGAAAGAGGCTGTGGACTTTCCTGCTAATTGTGCCTCTTGGTCAATCTAAATTTAGGAGCTGGCTGCCACCTTTACTGTTTTACTAACTTCTTTGTAATTATTTTGGAATGAAAAACAAACTCAGAATTTAAATTAGAGGATGCTTTGCCTGACAATGGGTTCCCCTGATTCTTACCAAGTCTGAGGAGTTGGCTTGAGCCAAAGCAGACTCTGAGCTCAAAATCACCTCCCATTTTGCACCAGAGTCTTTGCAAGGAAGCTAAACCTAGAGTTCAGTGTTGCTCATGATGGTGGGAGGTGGAGGACAGCACCTGTGTAAAACCAGACTGGTGGCAACAATGCTGTGTTTAAGTCGATGTGTGTTGCTCTTTGAGTGAGTCTGAGAAGGGGAAGGGGCCATCTGGGGAAGGGAAAGGTGTGGCTTTATAAATGAAGTGCCTCTTACACTGTCCTCACACGTCACCCACCTACATACAGCCAAGCAAGCTGGAATGAATTCTCGCTTTTTCTAGTACTAGGGAACCGAGCATATTGGAAAGAGCAAAGATGTGTGGAGTATGGCAGGTTTGGGAACAGGCTAAGGAGTCACAGGGATGGGGGGCGGAATATGCTACAAAGCTATCCTCCTTGCACCTTTAGGATCCCGTGAAAGATGCTAGGCTGTGACACATAGTGTGCATTTGTCAAGCTTTAAGAAGTTTTTCCAGGCTGAAGAATTCTGCTGATCTGTATGTTTTGACTTTTGTCACATACTTTCTTTCCATTGGGTTTCCAAGTCTCCAGAATTTGCCCACCATCAACCACAGTTTCTGTAGGTGTTTAGAAGAGCTCTCTGTGTGCTTTAACCGTGAATTATAAGAAACACAAGCTTTGAGCCTGAAGGCAGCCAGCTGAAATGCAGAGCTGTATTTAGCTTGTGGAGTACTAGCTGTTGAAAGAATCAGGTGCTGTGAATAAAGTATTTTGAACTTACCTGCGTCTCGGTCCCTGATACAGTAGTCTGGAGAATTCTCAAAATATACAAGGTCATTTTTCGTTGGCTTCTTGAACCTCTTGTTGGCCACAGTGAAACCGGTGCCGTCCTGGTTCATGACGACCTGGATGGCCCCGCTGTATTTCCTCCAGAGATAGTCGCCTGTTTTTCTGAAGTCGGCCATGGCCAGCCAGCATGTCCTCAGAGTACATGAACCGCTTACACCGTGACACTTGCACTCTTGCTTCAAGAATCGCTTGACTGCCTACCAAAAAAGACAGAGACAGGCTCAGTGGAGGTGGGCTCAAGGACAAGGCACACATAGCTACAACTTCCTCTGAGAAATCAGGGAGTGACTCTGACAAACAATGGATCCAAGGGCTTGTGACTGGGAAGTTTTGAAGTGTCCCTTGCTGGGGGCAGGTCTGCCATTCAGCCACTCTGTGGTGGGTAGAAAGTGGAGCCACAATGCCTAATCTCAAACTCCATTTGGTTATTGGTATGATAAAAATGTCATTCATGTGAATTCAGTGAGGTACAGAGTCAGACTGAAGATTGAAGGAATACATTAGAGAGTATTTTATGAATAAATATAGCCTTATTACCTTAAAATATACACCCTTACTCAAATCAGAGTAACAAAGCAATTGCTAAACTAAACATTTCTCAACAAACCAATAATGGTATTTGTTGCTATTTATGGAGTGCTTCTATGTTCTGGGTATTGCTAACACTATATATTCTCTGTACTACCATACTTACTTTGCAGATGATTGAGGAGCAAGACTTACAGAGGTTAAGGCACCTGCCAAGGTTAAGGTGGTCAAGGACATAGCCAGGTTGCACAGGGGAGAATGATTTCCCCTGGAGAGTCAGCTGGTGAGTGTGAGACTGACATTAAATTAGGGTAATTAACATTCTACTCCATATTCAATTTAGAAGACAAGGCTTAGCTTTCTCTGTTCTTTCTCATGGAGGGAATAAAGGAAAATGGGGAGTAGGCTATCTTGGCTGGCTTCTGGCCTGCATACATTTTTTCTGAAGGCTGTGAGGCCTGTGGCCAGGGAAGGGGCCTAGTGGGCCCTGAAGCCATCCAGGGAAGGTTCCGCTTTGTGGCCTGAGGATTAGCCAGCCTTGCTACACAATCCCTAAAGTGGTCTGGGGGAGGCAGGTTATCCCATCCTTCCCACTCCACTTTGGCTCACCTAAGTGAAACTAACCAAACAAACTCACTGCCGTTGAGTCGGATCCGATGCATAGCGACCCCTCCTTGGGTTTCTGAGGCCGTATCACTACAGAAGTAGATTGCCCAACCTTCCTTCCGAGGAGTGGCTGGTGGGTATGAACCGCCAGCCTTCTGGTTAGCAGTTAGATGTAGTGAAGAGAGTTACTATTCCTCATGGTCCCTGGGCCACTTGAGCTCTTCCAATCAATCTTAGACAAGGAAAGCAGGACCAAGATGTAGAATGGCCAGAATGCAAACCCAGACTCTCAGGTTTTTCCAATTCCCAGCGTATACATATAAATGGATTTCTTGGGCATATTTTTTGAGAGCACATTTTCTGACTAAAAACCTCTCCTTTTCGTAATTCACAACTTTAACAATCATTTTTATCTTCCAACAGTTAGCACTGAATTCTTGCTCTGTTAATCAGATTTCCAAGTTACTATCCTATTTATTATTATTATTTTTGCAGTGTTCACTCCTGTCAAGTTATTGTCCTATTAAAAGAGCTTCTTATTGCACGAGGGAGCTTATGACTGACAATTAACCTCCACAGTCAGAAACAATGGTGGGGCAACGGTTAAGTGCTCAGCTGCTAACCAAAAGGTGGGCAGCTTGACCCCCCCCCCCCACCAGCGGCTCTGCAGGGGAACAGACCTGGTGACCTTCTCCCATAAAGACAACATCCTAGGAGTTCCGGCAAGATGGCGGACTAGGCAGAAAGACTGCACAGACCCTCTTCAACAAAGAAAAGGATAACCAATTAACACTGACACAGAAGTTAATCTTGGACCCCTGAGCCTTGAAGGGAAGGATATAGACGTGGACTAAACCCCAACTAGCAGAAAAATTTGCGTGAAAATACCAAAAAAGGAGACAAACAGAGCTGTGGTCTGGCAGCGATCCTGAGCAATCCTGATGGCACAGACAGCTTGGAGATTCCCGAGTGGTGGTAGGACCTAAGAATTAACCTAAAAATCAGCCCTGCTAGCCAGAGACTGCACAGAGGACTGTGCACGGTGGCTGGGGAATAAATGGAGAAGGTGAAGAGAAAGGCAGGCTAAACTGTGGACTTTTGCTGGTCCGGAGGGCACCACCATGTTGAAGGTTTAAAAACGGCTTGACTATTTTGAATATTTAAAGAGACAGCACTCTCGAAGATTCCTGGGGCTTAAGAACACATTCTGCTTTCCAGAAACCCCAAGGACACTCCGGACCTGCAAGACTGAAAAGGTACCACATTCCTCTTGTTACTCTTATACCCACACCCGCTTAGTGAACAGAGGTGCGGCCATCCCCCACTCCCACCTACCTTCTGGGCCCACAGGAACTCCATCACAGTCTATGTGCTCAGACGGAGCCTGGGTGCCCTGCCCTGTCCTCCACTGATTTTTTTTTTCTCTTTTTTTATTTTTTACTTTCTTTTCCTGGTGATTAGTTTGCTTCTATTTGTCTGTTTTAAAACAACTATTATTATTAATACTTTTGTCCTTTTTACTATTATTCTTAAACTTCCCCTCCCAGGTCCTAGTTTTCATCAATTTTTTTTTCCCTGTTCCTGGTTGAATTTTTTTTTTTTTTTTAATTTAAGTGTTTGTTTTTTTTTCCTCTCCCCATTTTTTCTTGTGGTTAACCCTGTTCCTTGTTTTTCTTTTTGCATATTTTCCCATTTTTTTCCCCTTCATTATTCTCCTTCTCTACCTTTTTGCTCTTAGTGCCCTATCTCCAGATATTGCAGGTTTTCTTACTTTTTCTTCTTCTTTTTCCCTTTTTTCTTTTTTTTGGTTACTGTTCCTGTGTGATTACATGGTGTGTTTTTTTGTCCATGTGCTTTTAGTTTTTTGATGGTTATTCAACTGAATTTGTGTCTAACCGAGTGAGAGACAAGAACAGTCCCCGTAAAACACAACTACAGCCACACCTCCTGCAACTTCACTTACTGAGCAAGAGTCACCACCTCCTTCTCCACCAATGGGCCAATGATAAAAAACAACCAAGAAGAGCCTGAATCACCCTTGGCTTCTCTTCACAAACAGTTAACAGATATCTAAACACAACAACGCCACGATGCCCCAGAGACAACAGACAATCACAGTCCACACAAAGAAGCAGGATAAACTGGTAGAAACAAGGGAGCAGGATACAGACCCAGAACACATCCCTGAGGAAGAAGCAGCA